AACTCTCAACCCACTTATACTCACCTTTGCTGCGTGTCAGATCTTGGTTGATGAAATCATGTCTTCTCTCATGTGACCATGTTCAGGCCTGCCAAGAACTACATCCCTCCACCTATTCTGAGGTGGTTCGAAGGTGAGTATAATATGGACAGGAGAGGCTTTCAAGAGACTCTTCACTTTGCCCTGAATGAGCGGTGACAGAATCTTTTTACGCTATCAGCCTTGGATTGTGGGAAAAAAATAAAGTGCTCACTTGAAACTGTGCAAAACCCCTTCAACTTTCTTGAAGCTTGTTAAGCCACAAGGTAAAGCCTCAAAAGAGGAAAGGCTTAGTAATAATGTTAAAACACATGAATGCATTTTCATACATTTAATATCCTCTAAATGGCTTAAAAAGTAAAACATATTAAACGATGTAGCAATTGAGTTTATGTTTTTAGATCACTGAGCTAGCATCTAGTGAAAGGACATTTCAACTAGTAAATTTTCCTACCTTCCAAACCTGAATCTGTGATCTTGAGTTTTTCTTCCTCAAAGTCTTCAGACAATCTTAGCGGGCCCTCAGGTTGTTTGAAAGGAGTTACAGCAAGCGGGACCATATTTTGAGGCTCACTTTGAATGCAGTTCTTTATAGGTGAAACCCCATTTCTGGAATCCAAAGCTGCATCTGGGAACCTCTGGTTTTGTTCGTTACCTTGAAGATAGGGCATAGATGTTGAATGTCCTTTCCCTTGCATTCTGGCAGCGAAAGATGATTTTTCACAGCAAGAAGGTTCTTGTACAGGTTTGCTAGGGTCAGCCAAGTGACCAGTTGACTTCTCATTGACCACAACATCTCTAACATACTGATTCTGAACATTATCAGCTTTAGTAAATGAATTTGCCCTCTGCATCATGGATCGGAGTCTATTACTTGAGGAATGAAATTCAGATGGCTTTACGTTATGGTTAAAGTTTGGCTCCTGAACAGAATTCTGTTGGACAGAAGGTGGCAGACGAGAACCTGAAAAGGGTGACACTGGAGCCTTATAATTAAGGGAGCTTGACCTTCCTATAGATGCCATTTGTGGTTGACTTTTTAAGGTGACTTCTGTCTTCTCCTTGCTCACTTGGGAAGAAATACCAGGTGTGGAATTGAGGTTAACTCTAAGCTGTGTCCGAGGCAATGGCCTATTAAATTGCTCTGGGATGGATCCATTAGGTTTTCCAAAAGAGCTATGAAGTGATAATGGGAACTTCTGAAGAGTGGTTTGTTGAAGAGGACCAAAGATGGGAGGTGGAGAAGGGGAAGAAGTCAGATCACAGTTAATGGGTGCACAGTCAGTGGGAGGTGAAGAGGAGGATGATGATGATGAGAATGAAGGCTCCCTGCTAATGGATTTGGCATTCCTTGAAGAAGATCGGTTGTAATCTGGAGTGGGAGAGCTCCATCCTTCTGATGGTGGATAGCCAGCGTCTGGAGAAGGAACTAGGTCAGGAACATTGTCTTCAGCAATATGAAGGTCAAGAGATGGCAAAGAGCCATGGTTTTTAGTAGTCACAGGAACTAGACGGACCCCTGGCCGCTCGATCTCTGAGTGAAACACATTTCCATGTGATGAAAATTTTTTCAGGACTGGACTGGTCACATTAGAGATTGTGATGTTAGACCCATGCTGGCCCACTGAATTCTGTGTTGGACGGATTGGCTGGAAAGGTTTTGTAGGTGGTGGACACTCTAAACTAGAGGTGGAACTGTGAAGACTTTCGCTATCGCTGCCATGACCAGAGGATGAAAAGCCGCTGGGATGGAGGCGAGTCTGGAATGAGGAGACTCGGGTAAGGCCTTGCCCTGCCGATCCATTGGTCTTGGCCATTTGCATCGTACCGCGGTTGAAGGACAAACTGCTGGTGATCCTGCTTTTGAGAACTGGACTCTGGGACGGGCTACAGCTTGAGCTGATGCGGATGCGAGACTGATAGAGAGGCTGGTGAGATCCAGTAGATATTTGGCTGTCCCCATTGCTTGCTCTGGTTACACTATTTTGACTTGGAGAGAAGGGAGAGCTATGTGTAGACGTTGGTGAAAACACAGGGGTGTCATCAATGTCCTCCATGTCGAAAGACCTTTTCAAAGCTGTGAAAAGAAAAAGAGAAAAAAGGTATAATTATTACGTGCGCCAGAAAAAATTACAGCAAAACAAACTTACACAAGCAAACAGAACTGAGTCATACAATGGGACTTTCCACACCTTGGAAAAGCATCTTTTGCTTTCTAATGTTGCAGATCAAACAAACCTAAGGTCAACCCAGCGGTTTTGTAGTGAGGTATTAAATCACTTTTACATCATATTTAACATTGAGACAAAGGTAGAGCTGATCCTGCCTCTCTGAATACAAGTGATAATATAATTTCAGAATCTTCTAGTTCCTTAGAAGATCAGTGAATCTCACAGCTCAATTGATCCACCCAAATATGTATCCCCAATCTTAGGTAAAAAATAGCACATAACGCAAAGGTCACCATATCTTCATAACTTTTGTATTTGTCAGTTTATTCATCATATAAAACAGCCTCTCAGCTTTTTTTTGCAGGGGAAGCCCTAAAATAGTTTTCAGGTCTGGGGGAACCTTACTAAAACCAATAGGGAAAACGTCCTTTACACTGATGGCCAGTGAGAAGAATTCTAACCCTTACAGTGGTGGTCAGAATGCCACAACTTCTAGACAGCTAAAATGGTGACTGTGCCATGATGTTTGTTTTGCCAACTAGTGTTGTCCCTGGAACTATGCAGATGCCATCAAACGGGAGGTCTATCAGCCACAGCCCAAAGAATGGCTAGCAACCTCTGGAGGAAGCCTACAATTCACAGAACCCTGGTTGAGAATGGCTGATACAGATCAAAGCACGATAACACTCCACACCGGCTTGACTCTATCCACCTCTTCTGTTGTCTGAAAATTAACTTAATTTCATGTCTGCTGTAAAGCAATAAGGGTGCATTCATAGTTGCCTCCGGTTTGACGCGAAAACCCCAGCGGGGGTTCTCATGATTTGCTGTGAGAGGCAGCCTCATTGAAAGCAAGCAGGGTCCATTCACAGGTATGAATGCACCTTTAAGCCCAAATTGCACAAGAGCTTTGTGAGAGCATGTGCAGTATGAATTTAGGAACAAGACCAGCTCAGATGCATGGAATCGCCAAGATATGACATTTACGTATGTACAGTAGTAGACAGCCCAAGCAGAGGACGGATATACTAATAGTGTGCTTTCATTCACATCTAATTTTCATTTCATCCTGCATAGACCCCTTAGCAATAACCCTTGGCGATTATGACAGAAAGTGAGACCTTACTACTGTAAATACCAACAATGAGGAGGCCACCAACAATATCCAACTAGACATATATCATGCAGTACTTTCTAAAATACCATCAATTTCCTACATGTATGTGTGGCACCCTCCTAGCTTAAATGGCTAAAAAATATAGCTTTTGGGTTCCGTTGTAATCAAAGGAACAGTGGTTGTTTAGTTTGGCCTGTTCGGTGTCTCACAAGCTGAGAGCTTGATTGCTTTCTCCTGCCTCTAGAAGAAGCTTCCAGAGCATAGGGTGGGAGATTTAAATCATCCAGACTGAATATTTACCAAGTTCCAGCCAATCCCTGGAGGGGAATTTTTCAGAAGAGGGCTGAAGTGTGGATAAACAGAGAGCTCACGGACTGGACTACTGCTCAAGTAGGCTTCAGAGGTGCTATGATCAATGGCTCAAATGGACCTTGCTCAGAGCTGACTGCAGAACCAGTCTATGCTTTGGTGCATGTGTAAGTTGTCCAAAGACTTGCCCCATGATTGTTAGCTGTGGGGCATTGGACTGTTCACTTTTAGCTACTACTGCTACTAAATGACTGTCAACCGATCGCTAATTGTTGCTGAGTGTTTCTTTGGAAGTATCCCATGCCAAGACTCCCATACTCTAATCCCTCTCTGTTACCAGATCTATCAGTAACAAACTACAAAGAAAAAGACAACCCCTAAAGTGTTATTTGGAGCCAGAGTGGATGGACTGTTGCTTGGGTGGCTGGTGGCACTGAGCTTGCGTTTGGGGAAGAGCCAGTTAGATTCAGCGGCCCCAGTCGGGGGTAATGTTGGGCAGAGTGAGTGGGGTTAGAATCTCTATCTGTTCTCAGAGGTGGACTGACCATTATGGAACTCGGGCACTGCCCGGGGGCCCGGCTCAGTAGGGGGCCCCATGAGATGCCCCTGGTACCTTTCATAGGCTTTTTTGGGTGTGGTTTGAATGTGAGCGAGGACACAGGGGCCCCATGATCCCCTATTGCCCGGGGCCCCATGAGTTGTCAGTCCGTCCCTGTCTGTTCTTATTGTCTTTGTCCCCTTTGGAAATCAAACCTCACTTTTTGTCCTGGGGACAACTGTCACCAGGACGAAAAGCTAAGTGCAAGCCTAAAATGTTACAGTTGTTATTGAAACAAGGATAGAAGGGAAATCCTCCATACAGGACACCTGTCCCAATAACAACTGCCAAAAGTAGGGTTTTCCTTCCTTTTGAAAAAAGGTCTACTGACTTCCTGTTGTGTCTCTGGGGGGCAGGACGTGAGGAGAATTTTACCCAGAGGCATTAAGTTGGCCATACATGGCTCAAATTTCAGCTACTCAACAACCATGAGCACTTGGCTCGAAAAACTTGAATTAAAAAAAGTCGAAGGAGCTGGGTGGAAAATATTTAACAGAACGTTAACTCCCAAGGGTTTAAATACCATCTCTATGCTAATGACACACAAATCTATCTTTCTACTCCTCACCCCTTCAGTCTCCTCTCGCATTACTAACCTACTAAGTGACATATCGGCATGGATGTCACTCCACTTCCTCAAACTCAATCTTTCCAAAACTGAACTCTTATATTCCCTCCAGCCCGTGCCCCCTCCCCTGACTTCTCCATCAAGATCAATAATACAACCATCAGTCCCTCCCCTCATGCCGGGGTACTGGGTGTAATCCTAGACTCCCATCTGTCCTATCAGCCCCAAATCCAATCGCTGTTCAAATCTTGTAGACTTCACCTCCGCAACATCTCCAAGATACGCCCGTTCCTAAGCTCAGAAACCACTAAGCATCTTATTCACTCCCTGGTTATCTCTGGCCTTGACTATTGTAACTCCCTCCTCATTGGCCGACCTCATCGCAGGCTATCCCCTCTTCAGTCTATCATGAATGCTGCTGCCAGACTCATCCACCTTACTAACCGTTCTGTATCTGCCACCCCTCTCTGCCATTCCCTCCACTGGCCTCCACTCAGTGTCCTCCACCCCTCTCTGCCAATCCCTCCACTGGCCTCCACTCAGTGTCCTCCACCCCTCTCTGCCAATCCCTCCACTGGCCTCCACTCAGTGTCCTCCACCCCTCTTTGCCAATCCCTCCACTGGCCTCCATTCAGTGTCCTCCATCCCTCTCTGCCAATCCCTCCACTGGCCTCCATTCAGTGTCCTCCATCCCTCTCTGCCAATCCCTCCACTGGCTCCCCATTGCCCAACGGATAAAATTCAAAACATTAACAATAACATATAGAGTAAAGCCATTTATAACTCTGCCCCAAATTACATCACCAATCTTGTCTCCAAATATCAGCCAAACCATCCTCTCTGCTCCTCGCACAACCCCCTGCTCTCTAGCTCCCTTGTCTCCTCTTCCCATGCTCATCTCCAGGACTTCTCCAGAGCTTCCCCCATCCTCTGAAACTCTCTACTCCAATTTATCAGACTATTGTCTACTCTACTCACTTTTAGGCGATCTCTGAAAACCTCTCTTCAGGGAAGCCTATCCTGCCCTCAGCTAATAATGGAATCTTCTATTCCTTCTACCAGTCCATCCCCCACAGTTATTACCTTTTGTACCACTAGCCCCTCCCTCTTAGATTGTAAGCTCCAAGGAGCAGGGCCCTTCTATCCCTCTTGTATTGAACTGTATTGTTGCTGTATTGTCTCCCGTTATATTGTAAAGTGCTGAGCAAACTGTTGGTGCTATATAAATCCTGTATAATAATAATAATCCAATCATTTACTGTTTGGATATTCATACAGCCATGGGTTCTGCAGCTGTTTGAATACAATAGCCAGAAATGGAGATTCCACCATCCATTCATCCATCTTTAGCATGGATGGAGAATCTATGAGTGTATGGGTAACTTTACACTTAAAGCTCAAAGAGAACAAACGGCCTTTGAAACTAAAGCGGCATTCCAAGTTTCTTGCTCAACTGGGAGAACTCAGAACAATACGACTAATTATAAAAACAGCAATCCCTATTTCAGAACGTCACGTCCATCTCCAAGAGGTCCTCAGCCAGTCCATATAAGGTGTTATTGTAAGGGGCGAAGAAGGAGCCAGAAACCTTACATAATAACATTGAAACTTTGAAAGCCACAATATCCTTTCTCCATTAAAGGTAGGAACAATGGGGGTCTGTGTACAAGGAATGTGGGCAGAAGCGCACAGCTGTGGCAGACATTTGTCTGTCAGTAGTCCCGCTACGATTCTCAATAAGTTGTACGTTCTTCATAAATAGAAGCAGCAACCAGAAAAAAAAATCTTCAAACTGATCATCGCAGTTTTTTTCATATCCCTAGAATGGATGCAGAGTTATAATGTTCAGCCATGGATGCAAGAGAGAAACCTAGCAACACATTAAAGCAGAACTCCACACAGATATAAAGGACACCAATTATTTTGTATCACCAGCCCCTCCCTCTTAGATTGTAAGCTCCAAGCTTCCTTTTGCTGCTTGAGCTGTATTTGTATCTTTTTTTGCACATTTAAAAAAATAATTTTAGGCCTGAAGATTTGTTAAAACCCCCCAATATGATATATTTTCATATATTTTCTGAAAACCAACACCGTAGAGCAGGCATCTCCAAACTTTCCAAACAAAGGGCCAGTTTACTGTCCTTCAGACTTTGTTGGGGCCGGATTGTGGCCAGAGGGAGTAGAACATGCCCTGGCGTCAATGGCAGCAAACAAAGCCCCATCATTGGTGTCAGTGGAAGGAATAGCGCCCCATCATTGGTGTCAGTGGGAGGAATAGCGTCCTATCATTGGTGTCAGTGGGAGGAATAGCGCCCCATCATTGGTGTCAGTGGAAGGAATAGCGCCCCATCATTGGTGTCAGTGGAAGGAATAGCGCCCCATCATTGGTGTCAGTGGAAGGAATAGCGCCCCATCATTGGTGTCAGTGGAAGGAATAGCGCCCCATCATTGGTGTCAGTGGAAGGAATAGCGCCCCATCATTGGTGTCAGTGGGAGGAATAGCGCCCCATCATTGGTTTCAGTGGAAGGAATAGCGCCCCATCATTGGTGTCAGTGGAAGGAATAGCGCCCCATCATTGGTGTCAGTGGAAGGAATAGCGCCCCATCATTGGTGTCAGTGGAAGGAATAGCGCCCCATCATTGGTGTCAGTGGAAGGAATAGCGCCCCATCATTGGTGTCAGTGGAAGGAATAGCGCCCCATCATTGGTGTCAGTGGGAGGAATAGCGCCCCATCATTGGTGTCAGTGGGAGGAATAGCGCCCCATCATTGGTGTCAGTGGGAGGAATAGCGCCCCATCATTGGTGTCAGTGGGAGGAATAGCGCCCCATTATTGGTGTCAGTGGGAGGAATAGCGCCCCATCATTGGTGTCAGTGGGAGGAATAGCGCCCCATCATTGGTGTCAGTGGGAGGAATAGCGCCCCATCATTGGTATCAGTGGGAGGAATAGCGCCCCCATCATTGGTATCAGTGGGAGGAATAGCGCCCCATCATTGGTATCAGTGGGAGGAATAGTGCCCCATCATTGGTATCAGTGGGAGGAATAGTGCCTCCTCAAATAGGAATACTCCTCCTCAAAAAACTACACTCCCTCGGCCTCAGAGACTCTGCTCTCTCCTGGCTCTCATCCTACCTGTCACAACGCTCCTTCAGCGTTACCTATAATGCTACCACCTCCCCCTCACTCCCCCTCTCTGTTGGGGTCCCTCAAGGCTCTGTCCTTGGGCCCCTTCTCTTCTCCATCTATACCTCCTCCCTTGGCCAACTCATACACTCTCACGGCTTCAACTACCACCTCTATGCCAACGACACACAAATCTATCTCTCAACCCCCCACCTCACCCCCTTGGTCTCAGCCCAAATCACACACCTGCTGAGCGACATATCAGACTGGATGTCGCTCCACTTCCTTAAACTGAACCTCTCCAAAACCGAGTTTCTTGTCTTCCCCCCAGTCCGGACACCCCCCCCATTGATTTCTCCGTCACATCCAACAATGCTACCATCAAACCCGCCCTGCAGGCCAGAGTACTGGGTGTCATTCTGGACTCCAACCTATCCTTCCAGCCCCAAGTCCAATCTTTAACAAACTCGTGCAGACTCCACCTCCGCAACATCACCAAAATCCACACGTTCCTAACCCCAGAAACCACTAAACAGCTCATCCACTCCCTCATCATATCACGACTCGACTACTGCAACTCCCTCCTCACTGGCCTGCCTTGCCGCTGGCTATCCCCGCTTCAGTCCATCCTGAATACGGCTGCCAGACTCATTCACCTTTCTAACCGCTCCATCTCCGCCACCCCCCTCTGCCAATCCCTCCACTGGCTTCCGATTGCACAACGGATCAAATTCAAAATCCTAACACTGACGTACAAAGCTGTCCACCATACTGCCCCGAACTACATCACTGACCTAATATCCAAGTACCACCCAACACGCACACTCCGCTCCTCACAAGACCTCCTTCTCTCTAGTTCCCTGGTCTCCTCCTCCCATGCCCGCCTCCAGGACTTCTCCAGGGTGTCACCCATCCTCTGGAACTCCCTGCCCCAACCCATCAGATTATCACCTACTCTTCTCTCCTTTAGGCGCACCCTGAAAACCCATCTCTTCAGGGAAGCCTACCCCACCCCCTGCTAACTTGCCGACCTCCTCCACTCTTCCTACCACCCCATCCCCCACAGCTATCTCCTCCTGTGCCACCACCCCCTCCCTCCTAGATTGTAAGCTCGAAAGAGCAGGGCCCTCGAACCCCTCGTGTATCACATTGTATTGGTATTGTTCTGTCACATGTTCTGTCCCCCTTTGTAATGTACAGCGCTGAGCGAACTATTGGCGCTTTATAAATACTGTATAAATAATAATAATAATAGTGCCCCATCATTGGTATCAGTGGGAGGAATAGTGTCCCATCATTGGTATCAGTGGGAGGAATAGTGCCCCATCATTGGTATCAGTGGGAGGAATAGTGCCCCATCATTGGTATCAGTGGGAGGAATAGTGCCCCATCATTGGTATCAGTGGGAGGAATAGTGCCCCATCATTGGTATCAGTGGGAGGAATAGTGTCCCATCATTGGTATCAGTGGGAGGAATAGTGTCCCATCATTGGTGTCAGTGGGAGGAATAGTGTCCCATCATTGGTGTCAGTGGGAGGAATAGCGCCCCATCATTGGTATCAGTGGGAGGAATAGTGCCCCATCATTGGTATCAGTAGGAGGAATAGTGCCCCATCATTGGTATCAGTGGGAGGAATAGTGTCCCATCATTGGTGTCAGTGGAAGGAATAGTGCCCCATCATTGGTATCAGTGGGAGGAATAGCGCCCCATCATTGGTATCCGTGTGACAAATCGTGCCCAATCATTGGTGTCAATGGTAGGAAAATGCCCAGTCATTGGTGTCAGTGGCAAGTATAGTGCCTCATTGATGGGGTCAGTGGTAGGAATAGTGCCCAACTGTTGATCTCAGCGACAGGAATTATGCCCCAATGTTGGGATCAGTGGGAGGAAGAGCTCCAAGAGCATAAAGGCAAGCAAAGGGTCACATCTGGCCCCCGAGTCGCAGTTTGGAGACCACTGCCCTAGAGAATAAAATAGTGGTAGTTCCAATTTTTTATGTTACACTATGAATTGCAAAATTTCACTAAAAAATACAGTTATTTTAATTTTGGGGCACATAAACACAGTATATTACCCAGTTTTTTTGTTAAAATAGAAAAGATGTCAAACCTTAAAATTGCAGTACGCTCTATTTTCCATAGGTGAAGCTTTCAAAGCCCCTACAGGTCATCAGTTTGGAGTAAACAATGAATACCAGGCCTGGAATTATTGCCCTCACTCTCACATGTACGGCAATATGCAACATGTGTAGTGTAATCAACATTTTCATGCCTAGGCACCTTGATGCGGGTCTTTACATTCGTACGTGGCGTATATGGGGGTGGGAGGGCTCAAATTTTTTTTGGAGGGGATTTTAAGTGTTTGGGTGTAAGTTTAATTTTTTACACTTTTGTTTTACATTTTTTTTACTAAAATTTTTTTTTTCATCATGAATTCCCCTAT